TAATAGTTTTTTTTTTCAAAATTATATTTACTGGTTATAATGCATTGTTGGCAATAATTTTTCTTCAAAAAATTATTTATGGTAAATTTTTACATTGTATTTCTGGTATTAAAACCCATTTTACATTTTCATAGTGTTTTAACCCCAGTTTGGGGGTTATCTATTTACCCATAGCTGGGACCCTGACAGGTGCTACAACCTCGGGTCAGGGTTGACCAGGGAACACCAGCATTTAAGAGGTGGTTCCACGCTCCTCAAAATCTCCTGACCAGAGGCCTTGCATGTTGGCAGTAGTTTATCGTCTTACCCAGGACGCGGATGTAGTTTATCGTCTTACCCATGGCGGGAACCAACTTTGTTCACGGCAGACCTAGCAATGGATTCACTACACACTAGTTATTATGTAAAAATTTCTCGGAATTAACCTGTAGAAAAAGTCAATATGTATTAAGGAAAAAGACAATAGGAGAACTCTAGTTATAGCCGACGCGTTTCGTCCAATGTGAACGAAAAAAAACGAAATGAATTTATTGAAACAAAGTACCTATAAGCAACAATCAAAATGTCTTTAGCAAATAGAAGAATTTAGAAACTCTATTGTATATTCATATGGTCAAATGAAAAATTACGTCAATTACTTTATTTTTGAAGAGAATATTTTCACATAGAAATATTGTTTTTATTGTTGTGTTGATAAATTTAACCGTTTTCTTTTGATTTGAGTTCGAATGCCGTCTTACGTCGTGAAGATTTTTCATTTAATCCACGGTGTACGCTGCCACTGCCCTGCTAAACTAATTTATACGAATGCGCTAGAAATTTGTACTTAACTATCACATATAATAAATAAAGGCAATGAATTCATTACAACTGATTCCCAAAAATTGATTTTTTTTATGATTGAATCCAATAGATATACACTTTCATGGATGCCATTTTTATTATTGTTGTTGTTGTTACTAGTAGCAGTAATAGTAGTAGTAGTAGTAGTAAGTGAGTGAGCAGTACACCAACTGGGTGATACAGAAGTACAAATATACCAATATATACCTATTATGACTCCCAGTTTGATAAGGACATCACAGCCAAATGGCTATATGACATGATCATTTGATAAAAAATAATTTATTATTTGTGATAGAACATCACGCTAACAAGGAGTCGCTTGAGTAAAAATATACAAAGTCCAATATGTGGCCCAGTCTGGCATAAGGCTATAACATGCACACTGGGGAGATTGGGGAGGAGCATGAACTGGGCGACGTTTCGATAAATGCAGCTCATAATCTTACAGGAGGGGACCAGTTAGGACCAGCTTCAGATCGGATAACCCAGTCCGTTCAGGGTCTCCGGTTGAAGGTTTCCCCAAGCATCTACTGTTGGCTCCCAATTCGCCCTGGCTGCCTTATTTCAAACTTTAAACAAGGACAAACTTTAAACAAGGGCAAACGTGCACGAAATGGTGACCTTTTCTTTCGCTCTTTTTACAATGACGCTCGCCCTGTACGAGAAACACGCGAGGTAAAGGGTTTCAGAGCAAGAGGCCTCACTCCAGGAAGGTGAAAATACTAACCAAGATGCAACGGTGCTCTCGAAAGTGGAAGAGAAGGAAAATACTATAAAAGAAACAGGTCACCTGTTCCGAAGCAGCAAGGGATAAACCTCTAACCCTGTTCAAAAGACCGTGGAGGAGTGTGAACCGGACGATAGGCGAACCTATCTACTCGTAATGAGAAACAAAACAATGTTAATAAGTAAAATTCCAGGGTTTTAGGTGGAAACGTTAGATGCATAGAGTAGCAGGAAACATGGTCAAAAGCCATGGGAGGAGTGTGAACCGGACGATAGGCGAATCTGTCTACTCCTACTGGGGAAGAAAATTGTTAATAATTAGTAAATAAAAGTCCAGGATTTTAGGTTGAGACATTAGATGTATAGAGAAGAGGTTGATTTTAGAAGGACCTGGAGACCAAATCCTAAGCAGGAAACAGGGGATAAACCTCTATTCCTGTCCAAAAGACTGGGGAGGAGTGTGAACCGGACGATAGACGAACCTATCTACTCTTATTGATGAACAAAAAAATGTTAAAAAGTAATAAATAAAATTCCAGGGTTTTAGGCGGAAACGTTAGATGCATAGACTTTAGAAGGAACCGGAAACCAAGTCCAAAGCAGGAAACGGCGGATTAATCTCTACCCATGGTCAAAAGACTGGGGAGGAGTGTGAACCGGACGATAGGCGAATCTGTCTACTCCTGCTGAAGAAAACAAAAATGTTAATAAATCGTAAACAAAAGTTCAGTGTTTTAGGCTGAGATGTTAGATGTAGAGAAAAAGTTGATTTTAGAAAGAAGCGGAAACCAAATCCTAAGCAGGAAACAAGAGATGAAACCTCTACACCTTTCCAAAAGTCCTGAGAGAAGTGTGAACCGGGCGGGAAGCGAACCCATCTATTCCTACTGAAGAAAACAAAATGTTAATAGTAAACAAAAGTTCAGGATTTTAGGTAGAGGCGTTACATGTCTAAAATTGAAGTAGAATTTAGAAGGAACCGGAAACCAAATCCTAAGCAGGAAACAAGGGATGAAACCTCTACACCTTTTCAAATGTCCTGAGAGGAGTGTGAACCGGGCGATAGGCGAACCTATCTACTCTTATTGAGGAAGAAAAAAATGTTAATAATTAGTAAATAAAAGCCCAGGGTTTTAGGTTGAGACATTTGATGCATAGAGATGAATTTGGCTTTAGAAGGAATCGGAGAGCAATCCAGAATTGTATTCACTATCTTTATATTTAATCTCTTGCTCTCCTCCGCCAACAATTAGTAGATAGTTTCGAAATCGCCCAAAGATAAACTCCCTCACAGTATTTGAATAGCCCAGGATTGTCCGTTGTTTCCTGATTAGGATTGGGTTTCCGGTCCCTTCTAAAATCTACTTCCGTTCTGTACTTCTAACGTCTGCGCCTGGATTCACAAACGTTATTCACTATTTTATTTTACGTCTGTCCTCTTACCCATCAATAGGAGTAGAAGTGCTCGCTTGCCGCCCGGTTCACGCTTCTCCCAGATCTTTTGAACAGTAGATGTTTATCCCTTGTGTCCTGTTTGGGGTTGGGTTTCCGATTCCTCCTACAGTCTATTTAAGGTCTATACACCGAACGCTTCTCCTTTCCTACGCTAATATAACTCCACACAGTAATCCTCTAACTTGAGCGGCTCTTAAACCTTGTAATGGGTGAACTTTAGTACAGAAAAAATGCTTGATAATCTGTTAAAAATAAATAAATAAATAAATAAATGCCCGTGTTACTCCAGCGTACACTTTTGCTTTAACGTAAGAGAAAGAAAAATGGCTCATTTTTTTTTTTGCATTGGTCAGAAAATGAGCTCTCGAAATGACGCTACAACGTCTTTACTTGTTGAGCTGTGTTTTTCACCACGCGCTTTGCCTATCAGATTAGACGATTTCCTTTTTGGTTGTTTGTTTTTTGTTTTTTTAATGTTTTGATGAAGTAGCCAGAGTAAAACGTTCGAAATTACTATGTTACCCAGTGTCGCCTTGATGAGGCGTTTTTTATTCTTTCTTATTTTTCTTTTTTCTTTTGTCTAATCTAGTCGAACCTAAATAATTAAACTTCAAATTCGCGAAAACTAATTAAACAAGCGGACTAATTAACCACGTGACCGAATCCCGGCGGGAAAGCTGACCGGCGCCATCTTACCGATTCTTGGTTTGCTTACGGAAAAAGCTAAATTAGATTTTTTTTTTCTTCTTTTTTCAAGTTCTTCAGTTCAAAAACGGATGCAGATGTTTTGGTTACACTGATTGGGCGAAAAAGATGATCCGTTTCTTAGGAAGGAAGGAAGGAAGGAAGGAAGGAAAAGAGGGAAGGAAAAGAGGGAAGGAAAGAAGGAATGGAAGAAATGGATGAAGGAAGGAAGGAAGGAAGGAAGGAAGGAATGGACGGAGGAAAGAAGCAATAAAGAAAGGAAGGAATGAAGAAAGAAAGGAAGGGAGGGAGGGAGGAGAGATGGAAAAGATGAAAGGAATGAATGAAGGAAGGAAGGAAGGAACGAACGAACGAACGAACGAAGTAACGAAATTATATTAAATGAAGCAAAAGAAGGAAAGTTGTTAGGAAGGAAGGAAGGAAGGAAGGAAAGGAAGGAAGGAAGGAAGGGAAGAAGGAGGGAAGGAATGGATGGAGGAAGGAAGGAATGGGAGGGAGGAAAGAAGGAAGCAATAGACGGAGAAAGGAAGAATGAAGCAATAGACGAAGGAAGGAAGGAAGGAAGGAAGGAAGGAAGGAAGGAAGGAAGGAAGGAATGGATGGAGGAAGGAAGGAAGGAAGGATGAATGGAAGGAAGAAAGGAGGGAAGGAATGGATGAAGGAAGGAAGGAAGGAAGCAGGATATTTAAGAAGGAAGGAATAAAAGAAGGATGGAAAAGAAGGAAGGAAGAAAGGAATGGATGGAAAAGAGGGAAGGAAGGAATGGAAGCAGGAAGGGAGGAAAGAAGTAGGCAATGGACGAAGGAAGGAAGGAAGGAAGGAAGGAAGGAAGGAAGGAAAAGAACGAAGGAAAGAAAGATGGAATGGAGCGGAGGAGGAAGGAAAGAAGAAAGGAAACAATTGAGGCAGCGTGGAAGGCAGGCAGCAGAAAGGAAGGAAGGAAGGAAGGGATGGAGAGAAGGAAGGATGGAAGGGGGGAGAGATGGAAAAATTGAAAGGAATGAATGAAGGAAGGAAGGAAGGAAGGAAGGAAGGAAGGAAGGAAGGAAGGAACGCACGAACGAACAAAGCAACGGAATTATATTAAATGAAGCAAAAGAAGGAAAGGATGGAAGGAAGGAAGGAAGGAAAGAAGGGAAGAAGGAATGGATGGAAGAAGGAAGGAATGGGAGGGAGGAAAGAAGGAATCAATGGACGGAGAAAGGAAGGAAGGAAGGAAGGAAGGAATGGATGGAAGAAGGAAGGAATGGGAGGGTGGAAAGAAGGAATCAATGGACGGAGAAAGGAAGGAAGGAATGATGAATGGAAGGAAGGAAGGAAGGAAGGAAGGAAGGAGGAAGCAATGGACGGAGGAAGGAAGGAAGGAAGGAAGGAAAGGAATGGAAGGAAGGAAGGAAGGAAAAAAGGAAGGAAGGAAGGAAGGAAAAAGGAAGAAAAGTAATGGACGGAGGAAGGAAGGAAGGAAGTAGGAAATGGATGAAGGAAGGAAGGAAGGAAGGAAGGAAGGAAAAGGAAGGATGAATGGAAGCAAGAAAGGTGGGAAGGAATGTATGGAGGAAGGAAAGAAGGAGGGAAAGGAATGGATGGAGGAAGAAATTGTTCTGGGAAAAATCAAAAAGGAAGGAAGGAAGGAAGGAAGGAAGGAAGGAAGGAAGGAAAGAAGGAAGAAGGATATGGAAGAAGGAAGGAATGAAAGAAGGATGGAAAAGAAGGAAGGAAAGGATGGAAAAGAGGGAAGGAAGGAATGGAAGGAGGGAGGGAGGAAAGTAGTAGGCCATAGACAGAGGAAGGAAGGAAGGAAGGAAGGAAGGAAGGAAGGAAGGAAAAGAACGAAGGAAGGAAGGATGGAAAAGAAGGAAGGAAAGGAGGGAAGGAGGAAGGAAAGAAAGAAAGAAACAAGGGAGGCAGCGTGGAAGGCAGGCAGCAGAAAGGAAAGAAGTGATGGAGAGAAGGAAGGAAGGAAGGAACGGAAAAGTGGAAGGAGGCAGGCAAGGAAGATTCAAAAGAAGGCAAAAAGAAGAAAAAGAATAATAAAATAAACCAAGAAAAGACCTACTGATGGACGGAAGCAAAGAGAAATGAAATGACAAAAAGCGGGAGATAAGACGAAACGTTGCAAATTCCTATAAAACTCTTTTGTCGAAAAAGTCTCAAAATTTAATGAAAAAAATTTTTCTTCCATCCCAAAATTTATAATCACGTCTATAGCGACACAAGCGATAGGCTAAGCATATAGATGTCAAATCATTTTACCATAAAAAATATAATAATTGTTTTTTTTGATAGTTACCTATGAAATATTTATATGGAAACTCTCAACGCGACATTCAAATTTATGTCGCGGGAATTGGCACAGACTGTGGAATCGGCGAACGGAGTTCGAATGCCAAGCCGAGTCTCTTTCGTTAACGTTTGTGCTCTTGTGTTTATGTCATGAATCAATCACTTAAAGTAAGGGTGAAAGGAAAGGTAAGGACATGAAAAAAATAATAATGCAATAATAGAGGAAGAAATAAATGAGCAAGAGACATCTTAATAAAATAAACGGAGGAAGGAAAGGAAAGGAAAGGAAAGGAAGGAATGAAGGGGGAGGAGGAAAGAATGAATAAACAAAAGGAGGGGAATGAAGAAAGAGAGTAAAGGAGAAAAAAGAAAAAGGAAAAAAAGAAAGAGAAAAAAATTTCTCCTAAAGGAGGTAAAGTTGGAGGAGGAAAAAGAAAAAAAGAAAGACCTCGGCGGAAAGAAAAGAAGAAAGAGAGGAAGAAGGTAAATAAGAGTGTAAGAAAGGTAGGGTGAAGGAAAGAACGAAAGAGAAAAGGGAAAAGTTGGGATGCGAAGGAAGGAAGGTAGGGTAGGAAGGACAAGAGGCTTATAGTAAAAAAGAAGGAAGTATTTTAGTGGGAGGAAAGAAGGAAACCCTAAAAAAGGAAATAAAGTTTTTAAAAAGGAAGGGCGAGACAGGTAGGGTTGGAGGAAGAAAATGAGGAAAGAAAGCGAGGAAGGAACTTCTTTTGGAAGGAAGGATAAACAAAAGAGGTAGGACGTAGATAAGAAAATAAAAAAAATGATTAAAAAAATTTATAAGACAAAAATTTATTTTCGTTTCAAAATGAATATTAGATAGATAGATAGATAGATGAACTTGACTGAGATAGATAGGGAAATGAACAGACTGAGATAGATAGATAGATAGATAGATAGATAGATTCTCTTAATCCATGGCAGCAGGGCAGATAACTGACTTGACTGTTTTACCAATAATACAATAGAAAAGTAAATGAATCAGAAAAACCCAGCTATGAGTAGCAGGACCGACCAATGGAAAGAAAGGGAATGAACAACTGGATTGAAAAAAGAGTTTTAAACCTACTGAGACTGGAAAAAAATCTTCTAACGTTCTTTCAAAATCGAAAGATAGATGATCGTCCTAACTAATATATCACGCATGGCACAAAACTGACTGAATGATGCATAAAAAAATTTTTCCAACATGTTAAAGTTAAACAAATATGGATCGGAATCAGGAAATCATAAGATAAAGAATACATATAAATGTATAATTTTTGATCAAATATTACCTCACAATGTTTTTTATGTTTTTGTTTTAATACAATCAGTTTAATGAATGTCCAGATAATTTAGTTGGAAAATACTCTTTGTGTTGGGGCTTTTCTGTTTTCAAATTTTGGAATTTTTAAAGCGATAAATGTTACTATTATGACATGAACAAATAAAGAGGAAAATTGAAAAAAATTTTCCTTGACGCCCGTTTTAATATGAATGATTTTTGACTGAAAATTTGTATTTAAGAATGAAACAATGTTTGGGTATTCAAGAAATATAAATATCTGTGGAATGTTCATTGGTTTAAAATGGAATGAATTAATGATAATTATATTTTCATTAATTATTTTATTATAATGTGTTTTGTCACTATCATCCTTTTTTTTATGTATGTATTTTTTTATGGACACGACAGGAACTTGTCCTTGAAGCTTTTATGATTTTCCTTGAATTTGATGAACAATATTTTAATGGGAACGTAAAAACATACATATATATATATATATATATATATATATATATATATATATATATATAAGCAAATATATGGATATAGATCCGACAGTATGAAAAAAATATACTGAAAAACAAACAAAAAATCTAATATGCAATTATGCTGTTTTAATGTTTTAATGTCAACGTCGGACGTTTCGGTCTAATAGACCATCTTCAGAACATATTCATAAAACATAATTAACATAGACCATATACAATTCAACATGAAAAAAAGACGATGGACATAAAAGCAATAAAAATTCAAACAGATAACTGAAATCTTTTTATAAGATCAGCGTTCCGTTTAAAAATGATCATTACGTCGTCACGTGGGCGATGTTTCACGTTTTTCAAAAATTTAAAAATTAAAATATAAACATAGAGATGCAGAGACATATATATTTTGATGATATAAATATTAGATAATATTTTAAATGAATAAATTTATTTTAATGTTTCAAGATATATTTGTAAATATATTTAAAAAATGAGACGTTGAAGTCATTTAATTAAAAAAGGTTATAATTAAATGATTTCAATATATATATATATATATATATATATATATATATATATATATATATATATATATATATATATATATATATTATAGAGAAGATAGAAAAATAGATCCAACCTTTTAGTAAAACCAAAAAAAGATATTTTTCGACCTCCAAAACGGATCCTTTTATTATATATTATATATATATATATATAAATATATATATATATATATATATATATATATATATATATCATTTATATATACCGGTATATGAAAGTTTATGAAATTTTTATTAATTTATTTCCAAAATATTTTGAAATAATAAATTTTAATGAAATTTATTTAAAATTATCATATAAAAATACAGGAATAGAAATGGTCTGACAGCCATCTTTCTTTTAAATATTATATATATAAATATACAGAATCTGTTGCCAGACCTTAGGGTCTCTGAACAATACAACAAAATTAAATATAGACTATACCTCCGAGAATATATATATTAAATGTTATTTAGTCATAAAATAGTGATTTTAGACAAAATGATATACTGAACTTATTTTTCTAGGGGTTTTAAACACCGGGGGATTTCAAATAATCATCCGATGTATAAATTAAATCATCATATAATTTGAGTTTCATGATTATATATAAACCATCTAAACATATATGAAAAAATTCTTCTGAAATTTTTTATTCATATTGGAGTATTGAAATTAGAAAAACTTTTCAGTACAGCATGTTTTTATATTTCTTGATATGTGACTATCAAATTTTTTTGATCATCATTAAAAAAATTGGAAATTTAAAGAACGATGGTAAACAAAATTAATTAAAATTCGAACATGAAATAAAAAAAAAAAATAATGAATTTCTACAATTTATATATATATATATATATATATATATATATATATATATATATTATAAAATTTGGACAAAATAATTGGAACCACTTGTTAAATTCAAAGAAAAATTTATTTAATATGGATTGGTTACTTTCCTCCTTTAGCCTCACAGACAGCTTTAAAGGAATGGAATGGAATCACACAGCTGACTGACTTCATCCAGAGGAATTTTCAGTCATTCTTCCATTAAAACTTTCTCCAGCTCTTTACGACACGATGGTGGAGGATATCGCCTCCTAACTTGTTGCTCCAAAATTTCCCAGAAATGTTCAATAATATTGATATCTGGAGATTGGTGAGGCCACTCTATGTGTTCAGGCTCACTTTCATGCTCTTCATACCAATTCTTAACCACTCAAGCAGTATGTATTGGAGCATTATCATTTTGGAAGATGCAGTCATCATTAGGGAATAAATTCTTGGCCATTGGAAGAACATGATCTCCCAAAATGTTCAGGTAATCTTTGCTGTTGATTCTACCATGCAGGGCAACTATTTGACTGAGACATTTTCATGATATGGCGGCCCAAACTATCACTGATCCACCTCCATGCTTCACTGTTGGAAGAAGGCAGTCAGGGTTGTAAGCTTCTTTGGGCTGCCTCCACACATAAATTCACCCTGAAGTTAGGAAAAGAGAAAAACTGGACTTGTTTGAGAATATGACTTGCTTCCATTGGTCTGCAGACCAGGCATTGTGATCTCTGCACCACTTCAACCTCTTTTGAATGTTGCAAGTGGAGAGAAGAGTTTCCTCACAGCAGCTCTTCCATGATATGCAGCCTTATGGAGCTCACAGTGAACAGTTTTAGTAGAAACTGAACTACTCAGATGGTTATTCAACTAGCAGTGAATTTGGTTGCATTTGTCCGAGATTTTTTGCCACATTGCGTTTCAATGCACATAAGTCCCTGTCAGTAAGTTCGCAAGTCCGGCCTGAATTGCTACGGTTGCTAGAGGTTTTGTCCTGTTTCTCGAATTGCATCAGTGTTCTTGATATGGTAGCTCTTGAAAAACCAAACAGTTCAGCAACCTTAGTGATCGAGGCTCCTGCCATGCGAAGCTCAAAACAATTTGCTCTTTTTTCGAACTCGGAGAGGTCACGCATTTAGCTTAAATTTTACTAAATTCTAAAAATAAATAAGACAAAGACAGTAAATTAGATAAATAAACGTATTTACAATAGATATAACCTGCAATTACGAAGTTTTAGTTAAAGTTCTTAATATAATAGGTCTTTGAAATATATTTTTGGATTTTGCTTTTGTTTCAATCCAAACAAAAATATTTTATATATTAAATATATGAAATAATTATATATATATATATATAGTTATATATATCTATATATTATATATATTATCAATATGTATATATATATAATATATATAAACATGTATATAGTTATTTATGATTTTGTTAAATATATATCTCCGATTTATTTGTTTAAAAAATATATATATATATTTAATATATATATATATATATTGGGATATAAAGTTCATATATTTTCGATTTAATAAATATAATCATATATAGGATTTTCATTTTCAAATCAAAATTTTTTTTAAATCATCTTTTGGATTATTTTTTAATATCTAAATAAATTTCAAAATTATAATATTTCATATTTAATTTACACTGTAATTTAATTCAAACAATAAATTCCATAAATATATATATATAATATATATATTTATAAAATATTTATATATATATATATTTGATTTCAAAAAAATTTCAAGTAATGTTTAATTTTTAATTTTAAAACGCAAAATTTTCAGAAAATTTATATCAAATATAAAAATTATAAATTTTCCCAGATATTAATTTATCAATAAAAATATATAAAATTTATATAATATAAAAATATATTTCAAACTGTAAATACTTAAAATATAAATATTTAAAATATAGATAAAATATACTTTTAAGTTTAAATATTAACATTTTGTATACATTTCCAAATTTAAATTAAATTGTTATATAATTGAATGAATATTATATTATATTAATGAAAGCATTCATATGTCTATATGATTATTTTAACTAAATTTAGATAATCTGAATTTGTTTTATGAAAAAAGAACATAATACACGAATCACACAAATGAAATATAAATAACAATTTTAAATTTATTTTTTTTTTGTTATATCAATTATATTTTAATTTGATACACACTATTTTAAAAAAATTTAAAAAATCATTTTTTTTCAAAATTTTATAAAGACATAACTATTTAATTTAACATTTATTAATAAAAAATTTAGTAACTGATTTATATTTATATATATTTTAATATATATATATATATATATAAAATAAGAAACAATCAAATTTTGTGAAAATGTGTTTTCTTTTCCTCATGGATTCAAAAACAACTAATTTAAAAAAAAATGAAAAGGCAAAGTAACTAAGGATTTCAACATTTATATAAATGCAACAACATTATTTCAAATTTAAAAATCATAAATTTAAATGAAAATTTTTCGAACAGAAAACGATTTTGATTATATTTTCTTTATAAATTTTTTTTTTCCCTAAATATTTAAACCAGTGTTAAATTAAAATGAAATCCAAATTGAAAAAATTTATTATCATTTTTTTCACTTTTTTGGATTTTTTAAATATAAAAACATATTGAAATTTATTTATGTTAGTAACCAAATAAAATTTATAAAAATTAAAAAAAAAGACTTTTTTTTTTTTTTATTGAAAAATATCAAAATTAACTG